TCTTTCTTCTCCTTCTTTTCTTCCTTCTCATTATCATCTCTATATGTGTCATCGGTCATCACATCTCCCACACTTGGTTTGGTGTCATGGTGTCCAAACCACTCTTCACTAGCAAGGTGACCAACATGCCAAATCTTGATGGTAAGCATCTCAAGAACTTGTGGGAGAAGTCCTTATTCTTCACTTCTTCTCTAAGTGCTTTGAGATCATTGATAAGCACTTGAAGCCTACGGAACATCTCTGGCACACTCTCATCATCCTTCATCTTGAAGCTTGTAAATTTCTCCTTGAGAATGTATACTTTGGCGTCCTTCACCGCTTGTGTGCCCTCAAATGATTTCTCCAACTTCTTCCAAGCCTCATGAGCCATCTCAATATTCTTGATTTGCTCAAATGTTCTCTCATCAATAGCATCATGAATGGCACTAAGAGCAATGTTATTGTTTTGGAGAAACACTTTTTCGGTAGCGGTGGGATTCTCCAGATTGGCAATCTCAGTCTTGGTCTCTACCACCTTCCACACCTTTCTATTGATTGACTTGATATGAGTGGTAATCTTTGACTTCTAATATGGATAATTTGTCCCATTAAATTAGGGTGGCTTCTTGGCGTTGTTGATTTGAGTCATTTTGACACCCAAGGTTGTTAAGCCTCAAATCATGGTGACCATGGCTCTGATACCACTTGAAAGGTCCTAATGGCTAGAGGGGGTGAATAGCCTAGTAAAAATTCTACAACAACACTAGAGCCAAGATGTTAGTAAATAAGATGGCGAAGCAAATTTTGCGCTAGTACCACACTTGTGTTGCAAGCCACCTACCCAATTCTAATTTCTATGATCACTAGTATATCACACAAGAGCTATGTCACTAATTTACACCTAGGTGATCAAGCTAGCTAGAGAATTACAACTAAAGAGCTACACTAGCTACAACTGCCATGAGCACTACACAATGTAAATACACAAAGTAATGTAAGAGAGTGGTAGAAGTGATATACCGTCGTGGCAAGTGATCAATCAATGAATACCAAAAAATACCAAGGAGACAATGATGACACAATCAATTTTTCCTTCGAGGTTCACTTGCTTGCCGGCAAGCTAGTCCCCATTGTGGCGATTCACTCACTTGGAGGTTCACGCACTAATAGGCATCACACGCCTAACCCACAACCAGGTGCCGCACAACCAACACAAGATGAGGATCCACAAGCCACATGCAATCCACTAGAGTTGCCTTTGGTGCTCCACCGGGGAAGGCACAAGAACCCCTCACAATGACAATGATCGGAGCCAAAGACAATCACCATTCTCCACTCGACGATCAACCAATCACCGGGCCATCTAGGTGTCGGCAAACACCAAGAGTAACAAAATCTCCACCAGCTCAAATCGCCCAACTAGTGCCATAAGATGCTAGACCACTAAGCAATGCACTAGAGGTTCTCCAATCTCACTCAAGATGATGAAATCAAGTGTGCAAGTGAGTGGAGTGGTGTAGCTTGCTCACAATATGAAATCTTAGCACTTTGGGGTTCCAAGAGAGTGGCCATGGATGGCCAAGAGGGCTATTTATAAGCCTCACCACGAAATAGAGTTGTTACCCCTTGGAGCTAGTTTCTGTGAGGGTACCGGACATGGCGGTGCCCCTCCCAACGGTCACTTTCCAATGGCTAGAAACTAGCTGTTGGTCACTAGGCTAGGGTGGCGGTGGCACCGCCCTAGGGGTGGCGGTGACCACCCGGCCAGCCCCTCGAAAACACAAGCCTTTGTAAAAGAATGGCGGTGCACCGCCCTCAGGGCGGCGATGCCCGCGGCGGTGACCAGGCCAGTTTCCCTCGCTCTCTGGATAATTAGGGTGGTGGCACCGCCCCTCCAGTGGCGGTGCACCGCCTAGACCTCGGCGGTGTACACCGGACACACCGGTGCCCGCGCTCACACTGCTGCTCCTCGACCAAGTCCAGGTGGGCACCGCCCTAGGGGTGGTGGTGCCACCAGATAGGGTGGCGGTGCCCCACCAGAACACCTCCCTCTTGGCCTCCTTAGCCGGTCACCGCCATAGAGGTGGCGGTGCCCTCGGGGCAACACCCCAAGCTTGGCTACACCTCCTTTTCTTCACCTTTTTCACCACCTTTGCAAATGTGCTAACACTCCAAGTGTTTCACCATCACGTGCAAGTCTGTTAGCATTTTCACAATTATTTTTCAAATGTTAATCACTTTCTCACCGATTGTGCACTAGGCTTAAAATGCAATACAAGTATTCCAACACCTAGCGGCACTAGATGATTGAGTTGTCCAATAAGAGCTCCCCTCTTAATAGTACGACCATCTATCCTAAATGTGATCACACTCTCTATAGTGTCTCGATTACCAAAAACAAAATGGCCTTATGGATGTCACCTTTGCCTTGAGCCCATCTTGTTTTTCATTTCTTCTTTTCAAATCTCGGAGCTTGATCAACACATGTGTTCACACCATCACCATGGACTTCATTTCATGTGGCCATCTCCATCCATGAGTGCCACTTAGCTCCTTCACTTGGATTGGACCATCCTATCTAATCACATACTTAGATGCAAGGATTAGTCCAAATAGGTTTCATCAATTAACCAAAACCAAACTAGGGCTTTCACCTACACAAGGAGCAACACGCGTACTATCGAACTCTTAGGTGCGTGTAGCTGCTGGCTGCTAGTACGGTGGCTTCCGATGGAAGGATGAAGACTTAACATGGAAGCAACGCCGTCACAAATGAATAGGAAATAGATTGGAAGGAGAAAAGGGGATACATGTGCTTTGAGATTGTTGAGATGCAAGTGTCCTTTAACGAGCAAGGTCCTCCATGATGAAGGAAGAACCGGGTCCTTAAGAATTTGCCTCCGTTGGGGATGTCCTAACAGGCAACTTACTCAGCCTCTCAACTCCTCCTCCCACTCCATCCACGGGTCAAGCAAAGGGTCTTCACTTTTTTGTTGGCTATTTTCTCGCCTACCACCCTTGTTCCTCCACCTTGTACTCGTGCTCGCCTATCACCCTTGTTTCCTCCACCATGTACCCGTGCTCGCCTACGTCCTGTTCAACCAACAACCCTTAGATCTAAAATCACTGCCACCCTTCTCCTCGATCATTTTTTACACTTTTTGAGCTCGCTCACTGGGAAATGAGAGGCAATACCTAGCCGTTGCTTCTTTCACCATTAGCACCAACCTGAGCCTGGCCATGGTCGGATCTAGACTCTATGATCCCTCCCTATTTAATTCCCTTCCTTGGATGGCCGTGTCGACTACATGGGCCCTAGCTAGGTATTCCCATCTTAAGGGAAATTTCCCAACCAGGAGGGTGGCTAAATCTAACTACTCGAGAGGCCCAACAGAATGGGGGATACCTCATCCACTTTAATTTGTGGACTAGGCATGACAAGATATACATGAAAGCCAACTTCATCCGTTGTAACCAACCAGGAAACCTACCTATAAACTAATCAGGACTCTATCTATAACCCTACCACTCGGACTATATAAGTAGGGATGAAAACGGATCTAACTGGAGCGGATAATGACTCTCCCATATCCTAATATGCTTTTTTTGTCGTATTCGGATCGGAGCTGATGTTCACGGAATGTGGATTGTTTCAGATCTAAAAATAGAATGAAAATGGAGTGGAATCAGATCGGAGACAAATTTAAATAGTTGAGTAATGTATGCATACAAAGAGAATTATATGTTTACCAAGAATTAGTTATGTAGAAAGTCAATATAGAAAGCAGCAGACTATATCTTGCATTGCATTCAATGTTGAGACTATCACACAGACACAATTAACATTTAATAAGATATCCACACTCATAAATAATGAGTTATTAGCCAATAAACAATAACATCCAACAAGTTCCAATTCAAAATTTAGAACATAAAGCAATCACATCACAAAAATAAGAGTTCTCAACTGACAAGTTTTTTAAAATCTTGAATTACTCTCATTTTAGAAAGAGAAATTATCATATATCCTATTTTGAATATCAAATAATCCGCATAGAATTTGTGGATTTTGCTGATTCTATATCCTACCCTGCATCCACACACAATGGGATTCTAATGATTTGTATCCGCATGGATGTTAAAAGTTCTTCTCTGTATACTCAAAATTCGGATCCTTATTGGACCACAAAATTATCCATGCCGCTTTCATTCCTATATTTGGAGGGGCAAGGAGCCATGATCAACAATCTGAATAGATCCTTAGCCTATAAACACATAGTTGAGATCTCCTACAATCCTACTCACAATGTCGTCAACATCCTACTATGTTACTTGAGCTCCCACAATGGCACTCAATAGCGTGCTACGTCATCCCATTGGCGGCCCTTGGCGCTCGTCTTCATACGGCGGCATGCAGTAGCCCCCATGACACATAGTGTCCCACGATGGTCCATTGTGGCCTGCTATGTCCCGTTATAGCCTGCAAATAGCCTAAGGCATTTGCATCATCGTGATCTATTGGATCGGCAATTGACGTTGAAGTGCAAACTATCACGCTGCAAGTGCACACGAGAAAAGGCAGGGAGCTAGGATGGGCAAGCAAGCGGCGCTCACCTACTTTTTTCAAGTGGAAAACGAGGAATACATGATAGGAAAAATTAAAAAAGCGGACGTCAAAACTGTGAAAACATTTTTCCCCTATAAAACGCCAAAGCAAAATATATGAAGAGATCTAGAAGCCTCTTGGAACTCTAGGCCGCCCTCAAGGAGGATTTTTGTGTTGGGGTTGGTGACGATCGCTAAGCGAGGAATGGAGCAGTGATCTGACCGTCCACGTGGCTGATCGAACGGCAGATGTCTTCTCTGTGCCTCGGCGGCTCGGCCGAAGGAAGCAAAGCAGTCTCGCTGTCGTGCTCTCTCTTCTGCTCTCGGCTCGAGCAGTCCACTCCAGTACCCCTAGTCCCTACCGCACTGCTCCGGCCGCCAACCAGCCCACCATCCCACCACAGCTGCTAGCCACGATGCGGCCGCCGCGAACCCCCGGGCGCCGAGACGCGGCGTCGTCGCCGCAGACGCCCAAGGGGTTCAACCCGGGCGACCCCGTGGAGGTGGTGCCCGACGAGCCCGGCCTGCGCGGGGCCCACTTCGCGGCCGTCGTCGTGGGGCCGAGCGCCAAGCCCCGCGGCTACACCGTCGAGTACGACTCCCTCCTCGAGTCCGAGGACTCCGACCGCCGGCTACGGGAGGCACTGCCGGCGCGGAGCCTCCGCCCTCGCCCCCCGCCGCCGCCCGCCTCGGGGTCGGGGGGCCCGCCCGCGGAGCACGCCGCCGTCGACGCGCTCATCGATGACGCCTGGTGGCTCGGGGTCGCCCTCGGCCGCGCCGGCGCGCCCGGCAAGGTCAGGGTGTGCTTCCCGGAGACCAGGGAGGTCATGGAGTTCGACGCCGCCGATGTCCGCCCCCACCTCGAGTGGGTCGCCGGCGAGTGGCGCTCCCCAGATAGCATGGTAGTAACACTAACAATGGTTTTCCAACTTTTGTTCTATTTGATTCTGGGTTTCCTTAATCGATTATAAGCTTATAATAATCCATCAAAAAATTCTTTCCTTTTCTTTCATTCTAGGGGATTTTGTGGTATTAGGGTTAAAATAAATGGCGTGCACATTTTGTTAAATGGTGGCAGGGCGAATGTGGGACTTTGATTTCCCACGCTTGCTGGGTGGAGAGTGAGGAGAATGTGGATTCTTGAATTGCTAGCTATTGTATCTGATGGATGGGTTTTCTGACTTTTGATTAAGCTTATAATAATCTATAAAAAAGTTCTTTCCTTTTCTTTCATTCTTGGTGATTTTGTGGTGTTGGGGTTAGAAATGGCAAGCACATTTTGTTCAATGGTGTCAGGGCAACTGGTATTATGATTTCCCATGCTTGCTGGGTGGAGAGTGAGGAGAATGAGGATTCTTGGGCTGCTACCCATTGTTGTATCTGATGGATAGATTTTTCTATTTTAGCTTGAGTAATACAGGTGTTAGAGGAGTTCAGGATGCTAGATTGCTAGGGGATATGGACCTTGTGAGTTTAGTGTGCTTGTGTCCCCACTAGCTGAAAAATTGCCCGTCAACAGATTAAGTTGAGTACTTGAGTTACTAGGTCAAGCTACTTTGACAAGCAATCAGATGCGGGTCATGGGAATGAAGTGTGCCTAGTTAATGTGAAAGCATTTGATCCCCTTGATATTCATAGGGAGATTTTAGTTATCTGTAGCTTTTTATTTCCATTCCCTCCATTCCAAATTATGCTTTACTTTGGCTTTGTTCTGAGTCAAACTTCTCTAACTTCGACAAAGTTTTGTAGAAATATATATTAACATCATCTACAAGTTCAAATAAACGCACTATCAAAATATATGCCAATGTGAACTATAATTTGGAATGGAGGGAGTAGTTTCTAGGCCCCAAATAAGTTGGCATGCTCAAAACTATTGAAGAAGCAGTGAGCCCTGAATTTCTAATAATACTACAAAAGTTTTCTGTTGAAAATATAAGTCTTTGAAGGAGTTTCTATTTCAGCTAGATGGTAGATATGTTAGGAGATAGACGCTGTTGGACTTCCTAGTTGTGGTTTACTGCCTTGTGTTGTTGGTTAGAAGTTTGAACATTTTTGGTAATTCATTATCTTCTTTGATTGCTAACATAAATCTATGGGCTTCAACATTTGTAGGTTTTCCTTCAATTGTGTTGATCATGGTAGAGTAGCACTTGTTGTAGGTTTTTATATAACTTGTTGCATGTATGATGTTTCTTCCACCTCGTTTGGGCTCTCCATTCAGTGCTAATCGTTGCTTGTTGCCTTCTAGGAGATACCGAAGACAATGCCATATGCAAAAGGAATGCAAATCGAAGTTTCCAAGTTGGAAGATAATTCTGTTGTTGCTTGGTCACCTGCAGTTGTCGCAAAGACTATCTGGAAGAACAACCTATTAGTCGACTACACTCTTTCGAAGTGTTATGGTACTGCATTGTCTGAGGAGATTGTTGATATGAAGCATGTGAGGCCTTGCCCACCACAACCATCAGAGATTAGTCTCTGCATCAATGATGAGGTTGAAGCATTCCAAGGTGATTGCTGGTGGCTAGGGGTGATTACAAATGTTCATCCAGAATTCAAATACACATTTAAGTCGGCGCATTTAGGGACGGAAGTTGAGGTGAACCAGAAATCTCTGAGGCTTCGATATGATTGGGTTGATGATCAATGGGAACAAGTATCAAAGGTCTGTATAAATCTCCCTAGAATCTATATTTCTTTCAAATATCTGTTAAACTTGAGTTTTGTGCACACTTCTTGGATTGATCTGCTCTTATTGTAATAAATTACAAATCTGACTATTGCAATTTACATTTTTTTTGTTAATATAGCTATTGACTTCAGTGTGTTTAAATGTTTTTAAATAGTCATTGGTAATGATATTTGCACTATTGGTGCATGTGAATTTTGCATGATTTGTGATACAGATGCTGTTTTTCTGTTCGGTCTGTAGCCAGTTGCAGTTGCACAGTTTCCTTCAAACTTGAATTTGCTAAGATCTTAAAATATATTTTGTCAGATTTTACATGGTCAGCCAGTTAGTGCTTGTCTGGCTAATTTTTTAGTTCTTGCACATTGCACACCACGATACATGGTTAGCCAGCTATCTGCTTCAGTCGTGTAAATATTGAATGCTTAAGCTTCATTACTTGACAATGCTAGTGAAGTACCATGATTTCTGCAATGACAATGACTGAAGATAGAATTCTAGAATGTCTGGTTTTTATTTCTCTCTTTAGTATTAGTGTTGCAAGAAAATGTTGAGTGCATTTTGTTTTTGTTTGTATGACTTTCTTCTGTCAAAACCTATAGAATAGTGTATGACTGACAAGCCTGCATCCTTAGCATTCCAAAAATTCACTTCATTGCTTAAGTCAGAGCTTAAATTGCTACTTATTTTTGGTTACTTCTTTTGCTTTTGAATAATACATATTAAAAGGGAGAAAAATGCCCATCAGTCCCAAAAGTTCCAAGTTCAGATAATCCAAACTCTGTTACACCTTCAATATAGACCACCTTGATTGTATCTATGATCATAATCAACAACAACAACAACAACAAAGCTTTTAAGTCCCAAACAAGTTGGGGTAAGTTGGGGTAGGCTAGAGTTGAAACCCAACAGAAACAATCAAGGTTCAGGCACGTGAATAGCTGTTTTCAAACACTCCTATCTAATGCAAAGTCTTTGGTTATATTCCATCCTTTCAAGTCTCCTTTTATTGCCTCTACCCAAGTCAACTTCGGTCTTCCTCTACCTCTCTTCACGTTACTATCCTGGCTTAGGATTCCACTACGCACCGGTGCCTCTGAAGGTCTCCGTTGGACATGTCCAAACCATCTCAACAGGTGTTGGGTAAGCTTTTCTTCAATTGGTGCTACCCATAACCTATCACGTATATCATCGTTCCGAACTCGATCCCTTCTTGTATGATCTCAAATCCAACGCAACATACGCATTTCCGCGACACTTATCTGTTGAACATGTCGTCTTTTCGTAGGCCAACATTCTGCACCATACAACATAGCAGGTCTAATTGTCGTCCTATAAAACTTGCCTTTTAGCTTTTGTGGTGCTCTTTTGTCACATAGGACATCAGATGCTTGGCGCCACTTCATCCACCCTGATTTGATTATATGGCTAACATCTTCATCAATATTCCCGTCTCTCTGTAGCATTGATCCTAAATATCGAAAGGTATCCTTTCTAGGCACTACTTGACCTTCCAAACTAATATCTTCCTCCTCCCGAGTAGTAGTGCCGAAGTCACATCTCATATACTCAGTTTTAGTTCTATTGAGTCTAAAACATTTGGACTCCAAAGTCTCCCGCCATAACTCCAGTTTCTGATTCACTCCTGTCCGGCTTTCATCAACTAGCACTACATCGTCCGTGAAAAGCATACATCAAGGGATGTCCTCTTGTATGTCCCTTGTGACCTCATCCATCATTAAGGCAAATAGATAAGGGCTCAAAGCTGACTCTTGATGTAGTGCTGTCCTAATCGGGAAGTCATCTGTGTCTCTACTTGTTCGAACACTAGTCACAATATTGTTGTACATGTCCTTAATGAGCCCGACGCACTTTGTTGGGACTTTATGTTTGTCCAAAGCCCACCACATAACATTCCTTTGTATTTTATCATAAGCCTTCTTCAAGTCAATAAAAACCATGTGTAGGTCCTTCTTCTTCTCTCTATACCGCTCTATAACTTGTCTTATTAAGAAAATGGCTTCCATGGTTGACCTTCCGGACATGAAACCAAATTGGTTCATAGAGACCCGCGTTATTGCTCTCAAGCGATGCTCGATAACTCTCTCACATAGCTTCATAGTATGGCTCATCAACTTAATTCTCCGGTAATTAGTACAACTTTGAATATCCCCTTTATTCTTGTAGATCGGTACTAATATACTTCTCCTCCACTCGTCAGGCATCTTGTTCGATCGAAAAATATGGTTGAACAATTTGGTTAGCCATACTATAGCTATGTCCCCGAGGTATCTCCACACCTCGATTGGGATACCATCCGGTCCCATCGCCTTACCTTCTTTCATCCTCTTCAATGCCTCTCTGACCTCAGATTCTTGGATTCTCCGCACAAAGCGCCTATTAGTGTCATCAAAAGAGTCATCCAACTGAAAGGTTGTGTCTGTATTCTCACCATTGAACAATTTGTCAAAATACTCTTGTCATCGATGTCGGATCTCATCCTCCTTCACCAAGAGATGCTCCCTTTCATCCTTAATATACTTAATTTGGTTGAAGTCCCTTGTCTTTCTCTCACGAACCCTAGCCATCCTATAAATGTCATTCTCTCCTTTCTTCGTACTCAAATGCTGGTAAAGATCCTCGTACGCTCTACCCTTTGCCACACTTACAGCTCGCTTTGCAGTCTTCTTTGCCACCTTGTACTTCTCTATGTTATCCGCACTCCTGTCATGGTACAAGCGTCTATAGCATTCTTTCTTCTCCTTAATAGCCTTTTGGACTTTCTCGTTCCACCACCAAATATCTTTAGCCTCGCCTCCACTTCATTTGGTTACTCCACACACCTCTAAGGCCACCTTCTGAATGTTGGTTGCCATCTTCTCCCACATGTTGTTTATGTCCTCTTTTTCCTTCCAAGAGCCCTCTTTGATAACCCTTTCCCTGAATACCTCTGACGTCTCCCCTTTCAGTTTTCACCACTTTGTTCTTTCAATCTTAGCTTTAGTTTATCCTTACGGGCACGCACATGAAAACGAAAGTCTGCCACCAAAAGCTTATGTTGAGAAACAACACACTCCCCTGGTATCACCTTGCAACCCAAGCATGCTCATTTGTCCTTCTTGCGAGGACAAAGTCAATCTGATTAGAGTGTTATCCGCTACTGAAGGTCACTAAATGAGATTCTTTCTTTCTAAAGAAAGTGTTGGCTATCATCAGGTCAAAAGCTACCGCGAAGTCTAGAACTTCCTCCCCCTCCTGATTCCTACTACCATACCCAAAACCTCCATGAACTGTCTCGAAACCTGCGCTTGTAGAACCTACATGCCCATTAAGATCTCCTATAAAAAGCTTCTCACTACTAGGTACAGCTCTAATCAGGTCATCTAAGTCTTCTCAGAACTGTCTCTTAGCACTCTCGTCGAGGCCTACTTGGGGGGCATACGCACTAATTACATTCAAGACCATATCACCAACGACAAGCTTGATTAAGATAATCCTATCTCCTTGCCTTCTCACTCCCACCACACCATTTTTGAGGCTCTTTTCAATCAAAACTCCTCCATTTCTATTCGTTACTGTCCCTATGTACCAAAGCTTGAAACCTGTATTGTCCACCTCCTTTGCTTTCTGACCCTTCCATTTAGTCTCTTGAACGCATAATATATTTATACGCCTCCTAGTCGCGGTATCAACTAATTCTCTTAACTTACCTGTATGCGACCCTACATTCCAACTACCTAAACGAATCCTAGTTGGTTCGACTAGCTTGTTTATCCTTCGCACCCGTCGACTTAGATGTGAAGACCCTTGCTCATTTTTCACTACACCCGGGCGTCGATGTAGTGCGCCACTAAAGAAGCGACGACCCGATCTTTTCTCACTTGACACCATGCCCAGATCGTGACACGGCGCGTCACCAAGGGGGTGCCGACCCGGCTCTTGCCCATTTAACACCATACCCGGGTTCCGATATGGCGCGTCGCTAAGAGGGTTACGCTCCAACGGTTTTATTTCGGGTTTCATCTCCATTAGAATGGCTAGAGTTAACGTTGGCTCGCCACGCCTATCACAACCCTCCTCCTTTACCAGGGCTTGGGACCTGCTATGTTGAGACAACATAGGCGGAGTTATCTGTGATCATAATATTGGGAAAATATTGTATAACGTAATCTCTTAACATATTGTTCTTGGAATTTAACGTCATTCACTGTATGGTCACCAAGAAGCTTATTACATTGGATTTTGTTTCCATCCCCTAAAGCATTATCTAGTTCTTATCCTTTGACATTTCTAGAAAACATGTAATGTTAAGAGGATCTAGGCCCTTACTGGCTCTCTGCTATTATTTTCTTACATGTGATCACCTTGAACTTTTGCCATGGATGCATATTTCGTGTGGTCCTTGTATCAAGGCTATCAGAAACTTTCAGCGAGCTAAGAACGAAACCTCTGCATTTTCTTTTTTGCATGGGAAAATTGCTTTTACACCAAAAATCTTACTGTTGGATCCTACCCTATGCGCAGAGAGTAGGAATGGGAGATGGGTGGACGGGGTTTGAACGCCCGGTGGCGAGGCGGCGGCGCCGTGCTCGGCGCCGGCTGTTAGACGGTGAGACGGCAGAACACACGAACTAGTTGCACCAGGGAGCAAGAGAGAGAACTCTAATCTTTGGCTGTCCTCTTCATTAACCAAATGTTTAGCCTTATAGGCAAGTTTACACACTGCTAACAAACTCCTCAAAAAGCTCAAGTGATCTAACAAACTAAAAACAACCCAACTAAACCGATCTTGAAAAGATGGCGCCAAGACCCGTGGTGACCGCGCCCATCTCGTCTCCGCTCGCTGCGCGCGCCTTCTAGCCACTGCTACGCTTCTTCCTCTGATAGGTCCGGCCCACCATAACATCTCCCCCCTCGGAAACAGCTCGTCCTCGAGCTGGGAGGAGGGATGCGCGGCGCGGAAAGCTTCGACCGGC